TACTCAGGAGGCTGAGGCAGGAGAATTGCCTGAACCCAGGAGGCGGAGGTTGCGGTGAGCCGAGATCGCGCCATTGCACTCCGGCCTGGGTAACATGAGCGAAACTCCGTCTCAAAAAAAAAAAAAAAAAAAAAGAAAACCCCTTTTTCTTTTAATTGGTACCACACCTGTACCAAAATTAATCTTTAATAATTAAGAATAGGAAGGCTGGGCACAGGGCTCAATTGCTTGTAATCCCAGCACTTTGGGAAGCCAAGTCGGGCAGATCACCCGAGGTCAGGAGTTCGAGACCAGCCTGACCAACATGACGAAACCCTGTCTCTACTATAAATACAAAATTAGCCGGGTGTGGTGGCGTACGCCTGTAATCCCAGCTACTTGGGAGGCTGAGGTAGGAGAATCACTTGAACCCAGGAGGTGGAGGTGTCCGTGAGCCAAGATCACATCATTGCACTCCCGCCTGGGCAATAAGAGCAAAACTCCGTCTAAAAAAAAAAAAAAAAAAAAAAGCAGCTTGGAACTCAGCAAAAGTAGGAGAATTGCAGTCCAGGTTCAGTGGCTCACACCTGTAATCCCCGCAATTTGGGAGGCCAAGGCAGGCAGATCACCTGAGGTCCGGAGTTGTAGACCAGCCTGACCAACATAGAGAAACCCTGTCCCTACCAAAAATACAAACTTAGCAAGGCGTGGTGCTGCATACCTTTAATCCCAGCAACTTGGAAAGCTGAGGCAGGAGAATTGCTTGAACGTGGGAGGCGGAGGTTGTGGTGAGCTGAGATTGTGCCAGTGCACTCCAGCCTGGGCAACAAGAGCTAAACTCCCTCTCAAAAAAAAAAAAAGATTGCCCGTCCATCTGGTACAATTTGTGCCTATGATGGCAATCAGTACGCATTTAATACGTACAAGATAATCTGTAATGAATAAAAAAGCCATATTATTCTCACCTAGCTCACTGAATCTCAGGAATCATCTTTGATATTTGTGCCATGCGGTGCTAAGGAGAGAGGAAACTATAACTTCTATCTTATTTAAGCCAGGGTTATTTTTTCTGTCTTGTAGCTACTTCACTCAATTTCTGTCAAAAGACACCAAAATACACTTTCTCTCACTGCACTTTGCAAGTTTGTGTCAGCACAAGTTCAAGACCAGCCTGGGCAACAAAGCAATACCCCTCTCTAGAAAAAGGGGGAAAAAATCAGCTGGGCACGGTGGCATGCACCCGTAGTCCCAGCTACTGGGGAGGCTGAAGCAGGAGGATCCTTTTACCCTGAGAGGTCACCAGCCTGGGAGTCTCAAATAAAATACTGTGATTCCATGAATTTTCATTTTATTTATTTTATTTTTATTTTTTTTTGAGACGGAGTTTCACTCTTGTTACCCAGGCTGGAGTGCAATGGCGTGATCTCGGCTCACCGCAACCTCCGCCTCCTGGGTTCAGGCAATTCTCCTGCCTCAGCCTCCTGAGTAGCTGGGATTACAGGCACGCACCACCATGCCCAGCTAATTTTTTGT